TGATTGGCTAATAATCACATGTAGATCTACAAATTGATCTACGAAACTAGCCAATTAGACGAATTTCAGCCCATGATCCCTACATATAGTAAATGCCGGCCATCCAGAATGTCGTTTTTGATCTATAAAATTAAAAGTAATATATTAACAAAAGCACTTGCATTAAATAGCTAAAGACTTTTCTTATTTTACATTTTACTATTGTTCTTGATCGCAATAATTATGCGTCAAGAACAACACTTTGGATGACCGGCATTTACTATGTCGTTTCATTCCTGGTTGGTAGTATGGTTGTTAAAAAGCTTGCCGAGCCCGGTCCTTGAGTCGACTTCACACGGACATTTTAGGACCGACTCAAACCTGTCCCAGACAAAGTCCAAATCCACGTTGTTTGTTCCAATTTGTGATCATACAGTATGGTTGGCTAATTTATATCGAGATTTATTTGATTATTACATGCACGGACTCGGCTCAAGGATCGACTTCTAACAAAGTCCCTATTTGCGGAGTCCGCCGAAAGGATCGGACTTTTAGCATCCCTAGTTGGAGTGCGCCGAGTATAATCCGGATTTGCATGAGAGCATCTTCCTGCGTTGCGAATACAAAGTAAAACATCTAATTATATAATATAATTAGAAATTTTACTTTGTATTCACAAAGCAGGAAGATACTCTTCTCATGCAAACCCGGGCTAGAAATATTAGCATATTTTCGTGTTCTAAAATATTTCGCCACCCTAAACGCTTTCGACAGTGTTGGCACCGGAAGACCACTGGAAGTAAAATTAGTAGTGTAACTGGAACTTTTACTATTACAAAATCCCACTGGAAGACTAGAAATTCCCACTGGAAGCCAAAATTGCCAACACTGGCACATTCAATTCTTTTTGACATACTAAATTATTTAGGCTGCTAAAATAATTTCGCCTATTTAGAAAGTAAAATAATTTAGGCACAGTATATAACTAGATCATATACTGCATTCGAGAATCGGATATAAAAAATTTATTAAAAAAAAAAAAAATCTCTAATGGTCAGATGCGACGCAAAATAAAGTTCATATCGTCTAAGAAACTATAAATTTCCGCGAGCCAACAAAAAGCTTTCCCTACTAAATGTGGATATTAACGTAGTCTTTAACCTAATAGAAGCAAACGTAACCTTAACCTAATGGCAAAGTTTTTTTGGACTGGCAACGTTAGAGTCCTACTTCTGCACAGCGTATCGGTACGCACGGAAACGCAAGTTAGGACGGACATGTAAAAATCATGATAATACGTACAGTTGGTAAAAGGGAAAATTCGTCAAACCCAAGGATAGTAAAGTGTACAGTACGGAAACGCAAATTAGGACAGACGTGTAGAAATCACGTCAAACCAAAGCTATTTTTACTACTAGCACCAACATGTAAAAGGGCAATACTAGTGCTCACCTTAACCCTAACCATTAAAAATGGATACTTGTTAAAAATTGAATTTTGCAAGTACTATCAAAAGTTAATATAATTTTCTTATGTCCGTCCGAATCTGTACTGGCGTACAGTACTACTTTACTGAATACTTTAAACCTAAGTTACTTTCCTACTAACCCTAACGTGAAAAAAGGACAATGCTAGCGTTCACCCTAACCTAACTATTAAAATGGGTTACTTATAAAAATTGAAACTTGCAAGTCTATATTAACATACGATCAAAATTTAGTATAATTTTCGTACGTATGTCCGTCCGAATCTATACGTACTACCGTATTACTTTTACTGAATACCTCACATTTTTAGACAAATTTGGATTACAAATTTTATCGTTACGTGTGTACGTACGTACGTACGTTCGTACGTATGTATATGTACACCTATTTTATATCAAATATAGTAATTTAGTTGCTATAACCGATTTTTTTAATACCCGAACTCAAATCACGTAACTAGTGGCTGATTAAAAAATCCAATTATTCCTAAGGACCAATCAGAGATCACCAAAAATTGACATATATATATATATTTTAAATATCATCTGTAGCTCATCCTTTTGTCTCGCAGTATCATTCGTATAGGAAATAATCCTCTCCCAAGTTATTAGCATTTAGCTTTGATTTCAATCTAGTGCATTAGTGGCGCATGATCCCTCTGATCCCAACAGAAATTTATCAACAAATTATCAAAAGATTTCATGTCACGGAAATTTGGAAAATTGCTTTAGTCAATAAAACTTGGTGCGCAAACATTATACCAATTCTTTACAAAGACCCATTTTCGCTTGTGTATGGCAATACACTTGGTAATAAAGAGAGAAAGGCACAGCTTTCGAGAACATATTTATGGTGTTTGACAGATGATGCAAAGAATTCTCTTAAATCTGTTGGGATTGAATTACCCGAGTATATCACAACAGAGTCGACATTCAAGTATGAATCATTCTTGTACAATCTAAATTACCTATATTTTATTGATATCTTTAGAGAATGGCTCTCTCTAGACAATGATGGCAACATGATAGATTATTTTCATTATGTAATACTTGAGAAAATTTGCAAGCAGTTTGTCACCAGCGCCGAAAACATTACATATCTTTCATTTATAAATGTTAACAAGATTCATCTTCCCTTTCGAGATCGAATGATGGCACCATTGCAATTGCATATTTGTAGCGAAAACTCTTTCTTCTCGCGCATCGAAAAGTTTGAAACTGATGGTAATCAATGCATCATCCCACCATTTATGAATTTGCTACCACCATTATGATTCGTGTTATATATATATTTTGTGTATCTCTAAATATTATTTTTTTTGTTTAGAAAGTATTACATCCGGGTTCTTCTTTAAGATGGCACAAGTGGCTCACAAAATTGAAGACTTACACATTGTTGATTGTCATAAGAATGACGAGGCTATTGCAACATTAATTAAAGTTCAAGATAATTTACAAAAGATTTCTCTTGAATTCAATGGAAGTCTTCAATCATGGGAGTATCTTGAAGAAGCACTTGGTGAAAAAGTAGAATCTCTTAAAGAGGTACACATCTTATCAAGGGTTTATTTAACATACGACTATTTTTCACTTGGGATATTTTCCGGATGCACAAACTTGCAAGTTTTGAAATTGCATCTTTATAAATCAATGGATCATCATGTCTTGGAAGATTTTGCTGAATCTTCTTTAACGAAACTGAAAACTTTGGATTTGAAGATTGCCATACATCCAACTTCTGAAACTTTTTGCCAGATTTCGAGACTGATCACAAATTCCAATACGTATGATACTTTACGAAACGTCACAATAGTCTGGCAATATTATCCGGTCGATTTCTATGAAGTATATTTATCATCATCTTCAACTCATACAAACAATGATCCTAAAAATTGTATTATTAACACGATCATTGATTCTTGTACAAGTATAACACATTTGGAGATAACCATTCCGAATTCCAAGGGTAGTCACATTTTAAATATTTTCCTTGCATGTGTCTTATTACAAGAGGTAAAGTTTTATACCGATAATGTACGTAATCTCGCGAATACCAAATGTGATCATTCGGAATACTCGGATATATCTCAAAAATTTCTGTCTTTTGGAGAAAACATACCGAAAAATTTACGAATACTTTGCTTCGTTGGTTCCTGGAAATTCGATTATTTTGCATTATCAGACTTTCTTGATGTATGTGCAAATAGGTTAAACAAAAAACCTTTTGGATTATTGTTTAGCCTGCATCCAGGAAGGAAATCGGTTGAAATCATGCTTAAACATTTAAATTCGGGATTATTGGATCCGATAATTCATGCAAATAATGTATTAGCTTGGATAAAATATTAAAAACGTCTTCAAATCCAGTCCCGCCACGTACTTATTACATTTTCATAATTCATTACATACACCTTCACGACTATCACATTCTCAACATTAGCGAGTTGTTTTTTTTTTTCCTTTTTTTTTTTTTTTTTTTTTCTAAACCTATACCTTCTTTTATTACCTTGATCGATCTTCTGAACATATTTATATCCGTAGATTGACGTTAAGCAAATATTTCATCTTTATTTTAATACCCCTCAAACTTAATTGTTACGAAACATTTATATAACAAAAAAAGCAATAAACATAAAAATAGATGGAATTGACTAAAATGAACGCGTCATGCCAAAGACTGTTTGATTCTATATAGTTATATCAATTGCCTTATTAGTAAAATCAGAAAATTCTCACGCATGTAAACTTGGGGTACATATTCCTTTTTTTTCCTTCGGCAAAAAAGAGTAAACGCCTTAATTACCCGCAGTGAAGCGGAGAACTCAATTCTTCTGGAGCCTTTGATTTAAAAATTTTTCAGGGGCTGAGTCCGATTATTTATAATTTACCGGACACAGTCCTAAAAAATCAGTCAGACCTGGGCTTTCAAGTTCATTACGGCTAATTTTGATTGTGATCTAAATAGCCGAACCGATTACTTATAATTCTGGTCAAATTTGCAGATCATTTGGCCAAATTAGGGATCAAAAAACTCTGAACTTGGC